TCTGGGTAGAAAGCCATTTCTACCCGGAAAAGCTCACCGGAAGCGCTGGCGCCGCCATCTTTTTTTGATGAAAAAGTGCTTCCAGTGAGGTCACCGGAAGCACTTTTTCATCAAAAAAAGATGGCGGCGCCCAGCTGATGCCGGTACCGGGCCGCGGCATAAAAAAGGTTGGGGATCACTGCTCTAAATCAGGGGCCTATCATTGTTAAAGTCCCTACTTCCAAATGAAGAAATATCTCTTAAGTACCCAATATCTCAGGGGCTGCCCCAAAGAAGAGGGAGTCAAGCTATCCTCCAAAGCTCCTGAGGGAAGGACAAGAAGCAATGGATGGAAACTAATCAAGGAGAGAAGCAACTTAGAACTAAGGAGAAATTCCCTGACAGTTGGAACAATTAACCAGTGGAACAACTTGCCTCCAGAAGTTGGGAATGCTCCAACACTGGGAGTTTTTTTAAAAAGATGTTGGATAACCATTTGTCTGAAGTAGTGTAGGGTTTCCTGCCTAAGCAGGGGGTTGGACTAGAAGACCTCCAAGGTCCCTTCCAACTCTGTTATTCTATTCTATTCTGTTCTATTTCCATGGTTTGCCTGAGGAGAGAAGAATAGCAAATCCTATGTGCCAGTTAGGCAATGGCAGACATTTCATCCCCAAATATATAACTTGCACCCCCCAAATCCCTGGTATAGTCCCTTTCATTTCCAATAAAAATTGCTTCTGGGTGCCAAATTTGCAGGGAAAGTCCGGTTACTGAACCAAACATAACAGCAGCCGTAGATTAGATAAACCAATAATTGGATTCTCGGTTCCTGATTCCATTAGTCCAATGAGCTAGCATCACCTGACAGCAGATGACCAAGGTTCATCTGAGGACTTTTTCCAACCATTTCCAGAAATGATGGAGACTCAATCTAGGCACGTCACTTTCTCCATTCACTCTGTAGTGTCAGGCCTACCCCAGATCAAGAATTAACGTGACAGGAAAATCATTCCTACCCTTTATTGAGGCTGTAGTAACAAGAATCTTGCAAACCAGTCTGTGCTTTACATTGTTCAGCTTTAGCTATATTTTCCTGGGTTTGGAGAGGGAGTTTTGTTGAAGGAAGGAGATTATATTATTAGCTAGCCTACTTAAAGGCTTATAAGGCAGTTCCGTCTCTTTCCCATCTCTTGAAAATAATGAGTAATTTAAAGTAGAAAAAAGAAGCAAAACAAGATGAAGAACACAAGTAAACAGAACGAACAAGCACCATAACATTAAGTAAATTAAATAAAATTCTCATTTTAAAGATGGTGATGTTAAAACCAATTATGTTTAGAGTTTTCCTTCTGGGGGAGGGGGGGAGGGAGGGAGGGAGGCAGGCAGGCAGGCAGGCAGGAAGGAAGGAAGGAAGGAAGGAAGGAAGGAAGGAAGGAAGGAAGGAAGG